ATAGCCCGATCGTCCTCGTGCAGCGTCAGCTGCAGGAGCCTGCCGTTACTACCACCGTAAACACGCAAGCTGACTAATTATTTGTCCGGGGAGCTTATGAACACATTACATCAATGTTACATTCTATACACTGGCTTCCTGTGTCATACAGAATGGTCTATAAAATTCTCTTTCTAACTTCTCAATGTGTTCACAGAAATGCACCGGATTATCTCAAAGAACTTCTTACACACTGTAATTCTAGCTGCAGTCTCAGGTCTAACACTAAAACACTAATCATCTTCTCCAACTTCCCAGAACTAAACCGCATACAATGGACGATTGTGCCTTTTGTTCTGCTGCCCTCGCCTTTGGAATGCCCTTCCTGATTGTCTCAGGGTTCCACAGACACTGACTTCTTTTAAAACAAGCTTAAAGACATTTTAAAGACATCATTGCTATTGTGTGATATTGAGCATGGCATGAAGGTTTTTTATTTAAAAAATGCCTTTTATTAAATGTCATGGTTGTTTGCTCCTTTTATTATTTACTTATTTGTTTTTACTTATTTATTTTTCTTATTATTTTGGCTATGTACTGTCTTTTTGTAGATGTTATGCGTTTGTTATTGCACTGAATTTATCTTCGTAGCACTTTTTTCACATAAATGAAACATGCACACACACATTTTCCAACCTGCTTATCCTCCTGGGTCGCGGGGGTGCTGTAGCCTGTCTCAGCGCTCTTTGGGCGGAAGGCAGGAAACACCCTGGACAGGCTGCCAGTCCATCACAGAGCAGACACACGGACACGGGGAGAACATGCACTCCCCATAGCAAGGACTCATTATATACATAGTAAGAACAGTGCAAACAACACAAGCAAAAACAAAAAACTACTAAATAACTGAAATATAGTAAATCTGCAGAGACCTGTGCGTGAAACTCTACCATTTACAAATATATTAAACAGAGTGTAATCTGAGAACTGCATCAACTGCACAGTAACAGGTAGCTGATTGGATGACAGTCTGTTATATTGTTTTTTTTCCCTGTTCACTGTACTCATAGCCTTGTTTAAATATGTCACCACTGTTTGCCTGGTGCATTTCGTCCATTCCAACTTCAGAAAAACCATGACATGGTAGAAGCACATGGGAGAACATTACTTAAGCATTTCTCTTTAGCTCCTCCTGTTTGGAGCACTTTGGCAGCCCAGTAAAGAGCGAGCCGGGCTAATGAGTAGGCTAAAAGCGGTGTATTGACGTTAGGGCAGTACTGCACTACAGTACTGTATATTTATGCCCGCTGTACGATGCACCAGTGCTGTTCTACAGTGCAGCTGAGAGTGAAATACTGTGATGGCTGATGTACAGGAGCCTTTACCGAGCCCTTATCATCCCTCCTCTTCCTCGCATTGTCACTCACACGCTCCGGAGGATCGCCAGATTGTTTGTCTAAGCCACACACGTACACACGTCCTAGTGATCAATATTTCTCTCTTTCCACTCGCTCCCTCCATATTTCATTCCCCCGCTCCCCTTTTCCTCCTCTGCGCTCCCCCCCATTTCCCCTCTCCTCCTCCTCTGTCCTCTTAGTCATTAGTACTATATTTACCTCTTAACAACAACCCCCCATCTGCTTATTACTCTCTCCCCCTCTCTTTCTCTCTCTATCTGTGAGTCTCAGTTGACCCTCCCCTCCCTTTCTCTCTCTTTTTATTCAGCTTTGCTCCCCAGCTTTGCCCTAATTCATCCCTTCTTTCCTCCAAAGGACTCATCAGGGTCAAGCCACCAGCAGTGCGAGAGAGAGAGAAAAAAACCCAAACAAGAGCGCGAGAGGGTGTGAGCAGAGAGAGGGGAGATAGAATAGAGAGAGAAAGCGAGGGAATATTATTTCAGCCAGCGCTGCGATTCAGTGCGATTGTATTAGCACCCGAAGTCATGAGAAACAGTTAGCAGGAGAGAAGGAGTGTGAAAAGAGAGGCTGAAACTGAGAGGGGGTGCAGGGGAGGGTCGGCACAGAAAGTAAATTGAAAATGATTTGTTAGATTGTGTGTGTGCCTGTGTGTCTGTTTGCGTGTGAGAATCCAGTGTGTGTGTGAGTCTACGATATTAACTCATTTCTCTCAGAAAATCCTTTCGCAGGTCTGTGTGCTGAGCTCATTTATTGTGTGGATGTATGTGAGACATAGTTATGTATGTATGAGATACAGTATTTGGTAATATTTTACTCATACATGAAGCATTAACTGTATATTCATAAACAGTACAGTACACCCTTAAAAAAGGTGGTCCTAAGGGGTTCTTTAGTAAAGACAATGGTTCTATATAGAAGTATAATCACTCCAAGAGCCATTTGCATGCTTAAATGGTTCTTTGCATGGTGAAATGTTCTTCAGATGGATGGAGAATGTGTTGTGTACATTGTTAGAAATAAAGGTCATTTTCGTTCATTAAGGTACAAACAGTGTAAATGTTCCCTCAAAGGTACAACAGTGGTTTTAAGGTCCGATTCTGAACCTTAAATAAGTTTTTCCAGGTGAAAAGTTCGTATTTGTATCTTTTCATAACCGAATGTTTTAAAACAGAACAGTAAAATAAAAGCCTGGAGACGAGACGGGGTGTGTGGAGTCAGTACAGCTTAGAACATATCATTTCAGTGGATTATGGTACAGTTATGTTCCCTGACTAAAGGTACTGAGATGTACCCTTGAGCGTCCCACCCCAGTGACAAGAGGGGCACTGCCCCTCAGAGACAGTTTACTACTTTTTTCTGAGATTGTATGGTTCTATTTAGCACCAAAAAGCAACCTTGATCTTGTAACAATAGCAGAACACTTTTTGGTGCTATGTAGAACCATATACAACACATTCTCCATCAGTCTGAAGAACCATTTCACCATGGAAAGAACCATTTAAGCATGCACATAGTTCTTTGAGTGTTTATGATTCTATATAGAACCACTGTAATTACAAAAGCTCAATTGAAGAACCGCTTCTTTACAATTACATGTCGTTAAATACATTCTCTATGTGTGTGTGAGTAATGAACATGTAATGAATTAAACCACACTCAGTGATGCTTAGTCTGAGATATGATCATGATTACAAAATAAACATTCCTTTTCTAAGGGAACAAATACAGTTTTAAGCGCATGATATTAAAAAAGATTTTGCATTTTGCATTCATTATTGATCCCTTAACTTCTTTCTGCATATTCGTCAGTGGAATGGGCTACTGAGTTATTTTTAATGAGCATTAAATATTTCCCTAATAACTCAGATATCAGGTTCATTAGGATGCTGTTGGCTCTCTGTGTGTGAAGTCTTGAGTATCTGTTGAGCTGCTAGCGAGCAATGAGGGGTGAAATTTACAGCTCTGAAAAAAAAGTGGTGCAAATGAATGACAATTCAGATTTCTATACATTAAATACAGACTAATATTCTATACAATGGTGTTCCTGAATGTGTAATATTACTGTACTGTACAGTTAATAAATGCTACTGGAATATTTTTGTATATATTTAGGGAAGATTAGGTATTGCAGTTTGTTTAGATTTCATATCAGTCATGAGTGCTTTATGGTCATGAACACTTTAAACAATAGTTAATGTAATGAGGATCTCTCTTGAGTAGGGTCTCCATGTGCCTAGAATTGTAGGCTGTTTATTCCCTGGATAGATTTTAACTTATTAATGATGAACAGTGTTTGAAATCACGAGAAATTCACAAACGACAGGACAGAAGTGCAGAAGAGAAGTAAAAATAAAACAAAAAAAATATTAATATAAAAAAATTCTCTTGACATGTTAGTTCTTTACTCGGTATTTTATTCCCTCTAACAAAACTCTCCACGGCTATTACCAACAACATTTAGACTGTCAGGCATGATGTCATTAGCAATACTATGCCGCTAAGTTAGCTTAGCTCAGCTTAGCAGCTGGCAGTGGTGTCTTTTTTATATTATTTCTACTATTTATTTAATCAAATATAAGACAGTCCTTGAAGATTGTAAGATCCATTTTTAAGGAACACTTTTTATCATTAAATCTCTCACTGGTTATTTCTGGTTATCATACCTTTTTTTTCTATTTTAAAGATAGTACACAGATCTTGCTGTATTCTTAGCATTCCCAAAGTTGCCAGATCCAGCAAAAATCTCCAGCCCCAAAGTTTGCTAAAAGTCACCATCCGGACACTAAAACTTCTCCCATTTCTCCCATGACTACATCTTAAAACTAACCCAGTTTGACGGGAAAACCTGTCAACCCTGATGTTGACTGCACACGCTGTACCAAACACTCCACAGCAAAACCAGTGAAAAATGAGAGTGTGTGATACTACATAGCACGTCTTCAGTGGGTGCGCACACTCTGCCTGATCACAACTTGTTTATTTGACATGAAGAACTCCCTTAGTGTGTAAATCGCTGGCTGTAATTAAAACATTGATATTAAACGTCTTAAGTTATATCACATTAATCCAAAGAGGATGGAAAGGGGGGATGGTCATTTTACAAGGGGAAGGTTTTTGGCATTTTGTTTTTTGACTGGAGGATGGCATCCCCTCTCAGCCCCCTCAAATCAAGCCCTGCAAATACGTATAATTCATTTGCCATAATGACCACTGCCTGCTCTTCGTCTGCTGTTTATAAACGCACACACAAACACAAACACATACACATGCTGTTCCTTGCAGCGCAGCCATATCCCTCTATCAATTACGCTCTCTTTCTCTGTTTCTATTTTCTTCCCCGTATTGCTCCATTTCAGCCTGTGGCCTGAATAAAGTCTATTTCGTTTTCTGTTCTTTTCTCTTTCCCTGTTTCTCTCTCTCTCCTGCTCGCTCTTATTCCGTCTCTCTTTGTGTGTCTTTCCACACTGAGCCTGTCTCCCTCTTTGTGTGTATGTGTTTCCAGTCATACTGTGATCAACCCCCTTGTCAGCTATCATTCACATTACCCTGTGGCTAGTTTTTCATTCTAATCACCATTCTCATTTCTCTCTCTCTCTCTCGCAGGTATTCGCTGTTTGCGTCCTCTGCTGCCGCTTCCCCTGGCTTCCCTGTCTGTTGCCATGGTCACAGTACCTGCCCTCTCTCTCCTGTTGGCTCTGGTGGAATGGGTGGGGCTGACAGGCTCCTCCCCTCACCTCTTGCTCCGCCCCCGTGAGCGGGAGCGGGACCCAGTGGCCTCGATGCACTTCAACATCGCGGTGATCCATGCGGGCTCCGGGGCTCAGGGGGACGCGGGGGCCGCGGCGGCCGGGGGCAGAGTGCTGTACCCTGGCTTCGGCCGAGTGCACAGCAGCTTCGGAGAGAGCGTCGTCACCCAGTGGGGCTCTGCTAACGTCATCTGGCTTCAGGTGGGTTCGGAAAGGTCAACATTGCAAACCTCACATACTCAGGGACAGATATTACAGTCAGTTTTATGTGATGTTTACTGCAATCTCAGTCTGATCTCGAAGTTAAAGCTAAAGCAAATGTGAACTGAAGCGACAGCATGGCAAAAAATCAAATATACACGATTTCTCCTCTTCCCTGAATATAATCAGTCATCCAAGATATTTTTGGTGTCTGAATTTTGCTTCCTTAGTTTTGCTTTGGAGATATGAGGCTAATGTAGCTAAATGGTAATGGAGGCTTATATCCCACCGATTGGCATCGGGCAAACGGCATGCCTAAAACATTACATACTTGCCTCAAACCGTGACGAGTTGCTAAGTAGGGTTGAACAATATAGGGAACATATCTAATTGCAATTCTTCTGACCAATATTGCAATTTAAATGTGATTATTTTCTATAAAATAGAAATTTTTTCGCCAAGAAGACCAGCACATCCATTTTTTTCAGACTTGAATGTTGAATGCAGACTGATATAAGCTTTGAGTTATTAGGTTAAGCTCCCCCATTTAAAATTTGCTAAGACAATGTTAATTAATAATGTATATATAAATCCATTTGCAGCTCTTGCAATTAAAAAAGCGCATTCTTTTCATTGTGATTCTCATGCAAAAACAATTAATCTTAAGGCCCTATTGTTAAGTAATCTCTAACACACTTGCTTTCATGGTTTCTGACACTGTATGAAACACTGTTATCTATAAACATGGACAAAAGTGCAGACAAAATCCAGGTTCTAAGAGAAGTACTACTGCAGTTGTTCAACTGTTGAACAGTTTTATGTATTTTTATAGATATTAGCATGCCATGCAGTCTCAGAAACCAACAATGCAATTTTATAATGAGCCCACATAAGTGGTTGGACAATTGCGAGTGTGTGATAATTGACCACTCCAGGCTACACACACAAATGCATTCTTTCATAACTGAGGAATTGGACAAGGTTTACAGAATATTGGCAAAACTCCAACTGTACCCGAGGAAGTGTAGTCCACAATAATAATTAATCATTTCAAATGATATTTATTTAATGTGTGTGAAAGGTCAGACCATTATTATAGCTCAGTGAAGATTTTGTTGTGTAATTGGGTTAATGTTAGCACGGTGACAGATTTGTTTTCATTTCCCATCAGCCCAGTTCTGATCAGCTGCAACAACATTTAAGCTCATTAGTGCTTCATTTTAAACTGGAAACTCAAAGATATGCAAATCTTAACTCCAGCAAAGTTCATTCAGTGGAGTTCATTGGGATTTTTGTTAGTGTTCTTTAAAGCTTGTCCAACCTAGCAACAGTTGCTACAAAAGAATGTATGTGTGGGCAGAGATGCTAGAAAAGCAACTATAGCTGAGCCAAAGCTTAAAGCAGAGCAAAGTAAGTCTGTGTTATTGTTTATACTATATTTTTAGCCTATACTAGTGTATTAGCACATTCTGAAACATATTTACAGCCAAGATGGTGAAATGGACATAAAATGTGGCTCCCAAGGTGGTTTGATTTTTATTGAAAGGACAAAAAGACTTCTCTTAACATTTGGGTTGCGCCCCTGGTATAAGTAAAAGAAAAGTGGCTTCAGTACCCATCTGAACTGAATCTCTGTGGGTTGCAGGTGAATGACAGTAGTCCCAGGACGCTGCTCTCCCAGCTGTGTGACCTGCTGGCAGCCAGGCCCTTGCAGGGGCTAGTTTATGAGGACGAAAGGCCCCTCCCGCTGGCTTCTGGCCCGTTGGCTCCTATGCTGGAATTTGTCTCAGCCCAGACTGGACTTCCCATCGTGGCTGTGGGAGGGGGAGCGAGCTTGGGCAGGGTGCCACAGGTATGACGAGGATTACAGCTCATCTGATGGCTAAGACGATGCTGTCAGCAAGATGAGACAATGGGGTCAGTTTAGTTGACTCCATTTAGAATTTAAAATGAAAATCAAACCCAGACGGGTTTTGAATGGAGTCGTGTTGAACTGATGTTGTATTAATTGAAATGGAAGCGGTTCCATGACTACCAACCTACTAATGTAGCTTGCCAGGTAGCTGAAACCTATTATTCTAAAGGGCCCATGTCCTACATTTGACTTGCATTTTCATTTTTCCACTTACGACATTTGTGTTGTGCCAAAAACTTTTTTTTATTTCCACTTTCCAGCCTCTCTTTATCCCTCAGAATTTAACTGTTAATCTGTTTTTATTACTGTGTCTTGGGCCAATATACACTACCACTCAAAAGTTTGGGGTCACCTGTAATAATTGTAAGAATTGTTATTCAGTAATAGTTCATACAGTGTAGATTGAAATGCTATAAACTAGACCCCAAAACTCAAAACTTAAACCAAAACTTCATTTACAGTTTACAGTATTTTGGGAACAACGTTAAATTAGGACATGTTAAAAAAATAAGTGTTATTAAATATACACACACACACACACACACACCTAATCTAAGCCACTTATTCTTCTGGGTCGTGGGGGTGTTATTAAACAATAAGCTATCATTTTCTGATTAGTGGACTTTATTGTCACATAAATACTATGAATAGCTGTTTAATTAGTGAGATTATCAGTTTTCAAATATGAGGCATTGTGGACATCAGTTTCTTTATAAGTTCATTCTCAAAGCTGTACAGATATCTCAGTTATCATGAAATCACTTACAGCTCTGTTTATCATTGAAAATGTCTTCATTTTTACAGTTTCCTACAAATGTAGAATCATTTTATACACATATCTTCAAAAAAATGTTTTTATATGAATGAAATCAGTGACCCCAGACTTTTGAGCGGTAATGTATATGCAAATGAGCTCTGTTCTGAATGGCTGACCTGTATTCCACTTCATTCAAAAAACAAATCTGAGCTGTAACAAGTCTCACTGTATTTGAATAGTCCACTGTAGTACCCTATAGATTATCTACAGATGTTCCAGTTGTTAACAAACTATCTGTTGAAACTCAGTTGATTCTAAATTATATTATTATTAATTAGCATTATATTATAAACAGTGGTGGGGTTAGAGTTAGGATTTGGACCAGGGTTAGAGTTGGGTTTAGGTCAGGGGTTTCCAGTCTTATCCATGAAGGGCCGGTGTGGGTGCAGGTTTTCATTCCAACAAAGCAGGAGCTCACCTGATGAGTTGTTTTAAGACTGAGACCAACTGATTAAACAAGCACGATCAGGTGAGCTCCAGCTTGTTTAGAATCAAAACCTGCAGCCACAGTGGCCCTTTGTGAATAAGATTGGACACCCCTGGTTTAGGTTTTGGGTTGAGGTTAGGGTTAGGATTAGAGCCAGGTTTAGAGTTAAAGAAAATTATGATCAGTTTAGTGGATATTTAGCTGAATGTAATTTGAAAGTAAATTAAGTATCTACAAAGCATCTAAAGTGGACTATCCAAATACAGTGTTACTCTGCAACATTCCTTATGACTTCATTGTGAGTGGGTGGGGCAAAGCTGCTGTAGGCTGAATAGGCAGATAAAGGTAAATGGTTTTTAATGACATCACAAAAGCTGTGAATTCAAAATGGGCTGTTTTTGCAGCTCAGCTTCCGTATATGAACTGTATGGACTGGGAGTGAACAGTATGATTTGAAACTTTAATGATGTTTACATACTACATCAAACTCTTTATTTCAAAAAGCAACAAAAATTTGGTCTTGCATGATTTGGGCTCTTTAGCATGTAAATGTCTTTTGTGTGCGTACCCACATCCATTTGCCATTTGCGTCCGCAATGGAATGCAGAAGCAGTTGGATAGTTTTTAGAGGCAATAAAAATTTGATGAGGAACTAAATGCGGCCCTCGCAAACACTGTACCATTGCTCAAATGCTTAACGTTGCTGATATGTGATAGATGTTGTCTTTGACGGGCGCCAGGCAGTCCCAGGAGGAAAGCAATGCAAGACTTGCCTAGGAAACGTCTCAAAAACATCTCTCCACCCTACGGCAAGCGGGGTTAATGAGCTCTGGAGCTTATTAGCTGGTTTGTGCGCTGCTGCTCTGTATTCTCAGGCATTGTTTGTTAGAGATACTGCCTACAGTAGCTGGTGAATGGACGCAGATAGAGCTACAGTTGCCATCTCAGGGGAATGATCTGGGCTGGCTGGTACATGTAGGAGGTGCTAGCGTTGCTAGTAGACCCACTTAGATAAACAGCATGACTTGAGGTCAGACATCTTTGCTGCAGGCTGTGTGATTTACTCCTAAGCTGTTCCAGCGTGAAACTTTGATTCGGAGTTCATGGCGCATGTGTTCTTGTTTATCATGGACCAAACGAGTGAAAAACAAAGCCAAAAGAAGCAGAACTATTTATGTTCACAAATATCTCTTTTAAAACTATTTACTCCGCTGAGATAGCGGATCTCTTTGATGTCGCTTTGAAGCCGTGTCGCTAACACAGACCTGGCGCCATCTCTCCAAATGATATTTAAATCTGTGTGTGACTCGCCCCCAGCGGCCATACCAGACCCATTTGCAGCTATATTTCCCTCATCGCTGCCTCTGGTTGCTGCAGTGGCCACCCGTTTAAGAAACACTTCATAAGAAATTCGATTCCCATGATGATGCGCACGGAGAGTGAAGAGACAGCAGTCATGGGAAATGTCGTTTTTTTCCCCCTTAATTACTCTGCAGGAGGCTCAATCACCCTGCAGTTAATCGCAGCTGCTGTCATGTTAAGAAACACTTCATAAGAAATTCAGCCCCCATGATGCCTTAGAGAGAGAATGAATTGACTTGGAGACATGGGAAATGTAGTCATCTTCCCCACTTTTAATCATATTGCAGGTACTAGTGGGCAGAATATTGGTTGAAATGAAATAGTGTTGTAGACAAGAGCACTAGAGCCAAGTCTAAGTAAAGACCAGGACACATCAAGTCAGAGTCAAGACCGAGACCAAGAGTGACCGAGAATGGATTAAGATATAATATACATATATAAATTCCAGAATACTGGAATTCCATTTCCAGTTTTTGACATAATTTGAAAATGCCTGTTGCACTTGACATTGTATGTAAATTTTATGATGGCCCAAATTTATTTGGAAGGGGAAAAAATATATATATTTTCTGTTTCTTTATTCTTTTAATTCTTTAAAACTTGTTCAGAATCACCACCTGAAGTCAAATGAACGTAAACTAAACTACGTCGATTTTTATTACTAGCTGAAAGAATTAAAGCATATTAATAAAAACATTCCAATCTGCCCTCAAGGGATGTTTGAACTTTGGAACCAGTGGACATCAATAAACAAATAATGCTTAGTTAAGCTATTCTGGAAAGATCAAGGACAACAGTGGTTTCAACGTGTGGGCTGCAGCCCCCCTCAGTGAGTCGTGGTGGTACTGCAGTTTTTTTAACGGAAAAATTTGTTAAAGTACAAATGTTTAACCAAACATAATTTTGATTGACAAATATTACTGATTATTTGCAAAGATAAAACAAAATATTTATATTGAGCTCATTGATTGTTTTGGCAGAATGTTAGCTAGTTTACATTTTCAGTGCAGCGTAACTGAAACGAAGGAAATGTAGCGGTGACTGTGCAGCTCTGGGCTTCGCGTGCGTGAGAGCTGAAAACAAGTACCTGCAGCTCTGTGCTGTTTTGTTCAGGGGTCTTTACAAATAAAGCTTTGAAACACAACAGTTTACACCATCATTCGTGGCTAAACACGGTGCATATGTATCTAAACCTGTCAGACTGAGCCAGAACTCCTCAGTATTCCTTTCTTCAGCCTGACGTCCAGCACGACTATAAAGGAAACTTATGTATTTGCTCTGAAATTTTGTTACTTGTCACCAAACTGATAAGGTGTTCCAACTGCTCTATTTTGGAGAAACAGAGCTGGTTAGAAAAAAAATATGCATCCTTGGTTGTGTGAAATGGATTTGATTACAATTATGAGGTACAATTGTGAGATAATGATGAGATATTAACAAGATAAACATTTACTCTGTTTTTTTTTATGGTTAGTTTTTCTCGTCATTTTAAATATTGCCTTGTAAGAACTTGTCAATGTTTCTTGACACATTCTCTACAGAGAAGACACGTCCGCACATGTTAATGCACAATCACTGTTTGATGTATTTAACAGTAAAACATAATGTGCTAAATTAGAAATTGTGCACTAACATTTTTACAGAAAAATGCTGTATTTATGTTTGTTCCCTGAAGAGAATGTCGTAACTTATTTTGATAACACTTTACTGTAGGGTACAGTTCATAAGGCTACATGACACCTACATAAGCTTGTCATAATAACTGATACAACCCTACATAAATGTTTATTAATGCTTATTCCAATAGGCATTATTCGCTGTAAAAGTTACATTTGCCAGTTTTGATCAAAGTACCCTTTATGACAGATGACGCCTACTGGAATAAGCATTAATAAACATTTATGTAGGGTTATGTCGGTTGTCATGACATGTCATTACCCTTATTTTCATTGGGGATGTCCAAACTTTTGCGAAATGCGTATATTGTCGGGTTTACTGTTGTTGCGATATTGACATTTGCAGAACTCATATAGCAGAAGGCTTCTGCAAATAAGACTCTAGAATCCGAGTTTATGTGGGTGTTTTGATGAAACGTGGTGAATTCATGTAAATAAAAGTAAATTATTTTGATTGAAAATGCAGGACACTCTTAAAATCTGACCACACTCTTAAAAAAACACAGTTCTTCAAGAGTTCTTTAGTAAAGAAAATGGCTCTGTGTAGAACCATTAACACTCAAATTCATTTGCATCATGAAATGGTTGTTTAGACTGATGGAGAATGTGTTGTATATGGTTCTATATAGAACCTTTTTGAAAAGGGTTATATATAGCACCCAGAAAGCATCTTCTATTGTTACAAAATCAAGCTTTCGATAATAAAAGAACCCTTTTTGGTGCTATATAGAAAGTATATTGGTGCTGTATATATTGGTACCCCAACCTTTGAGTGGTAGTGCATTTGTACTTGTGCATAATTAAAGGGTTCTTTGCATTTTGAAAGGGTTCTTTAGATTGATGGATCAGAATGTGTTGTTTATGGCTCTATATAGAACCTTCTTAAAAAGGGTTCTATATAGCACAAAAAAGGGTTGTGCTATTATTACAAGCTTGACATTGCAACAAAAGAAGAACCCTTTCTAGTGCTATATACAACCATATACAACACATTATACATAAATCTAAAGAACGCTTTCACAATGCAAAGCACCCTTTAATCACGCAAAGTGTTCTTTGCGTGTTCATGGTTCTTTATAGAATCATTTTTTTACTAAGCTCTTGAATAACCATCTTTTTTTAAGTGCGCATATTACATTAATTCATTTTATTCACAATTCGAGTATGTTGTCCAAAGTTAAAGGGTCTTTTAGTCATGTTTAGATTTATAACAGTGCATTTACTGTGTTAGATACTGTTTCTGTTGGAAAATAGTCTTAAAAAACATTATGCCTCCGTCTTCCACCACTCTTTTCAGGAGACAGGGCTCCATCTTCCTGCAGTTCAGCACCTCCACCTCTCTTCAGTTGGAAGTGATCTTCGAGGTGCTGGAGGAGTATGACTGGACGGCCTTCTCAGTGGTCTCCACACGTCACCACGGTTACCAGGACTTCCTGTCCGTGGTGGAGGGCTTGACGGACGGCTCCTTCATCGGCTGGGAGAAGAAGAGCGTGGTGATGTTGAATTTAACTGACGATCCAGGCGGAGCCCGCGCACGTAGGCTGCTGAAGGAGAACGAGGCGCAGGTGTGGACGGACGAGAGACACGCGTTACCTTCACTCACTCGCTCGCTCACCGCACTAATTCACTCCCTCCTCTTCTAACCCCCGCACTGTCATTGATCTGTCCATTTATTTCTCTCCTTATGCCTCGCTCTGGTCCATTTTCTCTCCTCCAGTGCCCCTCTCTCTCTCTCTCTCTCTGTCTATCACTCATTCTCTTTTACATAGTCTCACCTTCATCTCCCATCAGGTCTCCTTCTGACATCCATCTCTTCTGCGCCTTTCCCATTCCCCAGTTCTCATTTCCTCTAATTCCTTTTCTCTTCCCCATCCTTACTCTTTCATTCCATTCCCATCCTCCGTGCTTGCTTGTTTTGCCCTTTCCCTCTCTGACCTCTCTGTTCAGTCCATTCTCCTCTCTCTCTCTCCTTCCTTTTTTTCTGTGTGTATATGTGGCTGTCCTTTGCCTCTCCCTGGCTGTGGGTTGTTATTGTGTGTGCAAGTGTGTGTGTGTGTGTGTGTGTGTGTGTGTGTGTGTGTGTGTGTGTGTGTGTGTGTGGGTGTGTGCTGGGGGTTGTTATTGTACCGTGTGGGTCCCAGTGCACTGGTGTCAGTGTTAATATAACTCGGAGCCTGTGGCACTGCAGCCCAGTGCCTTGTGCATTAGCCTCAGCCAGCAGACCTGCCTGCCCCTTTGGCAGCCAAAACCAGCCAGTGGTCTTGCTCAATTACACCCATGTGTGGTTCCTCAGCCCAATGCACAAATACACCTATATGCCAGGGTTGTAATGATTCATAATTCATAATTTGGTTCAATATGATATATTTCCGTCTCGATTCAGTATGTTTTTCGATGCAGCAAGAATGAAATGCAGTGAATTTCTATTTACATATTGACAAAGAGTAAAATGTAAAATATAAAATGTGCCGTAACTTTTGCACGGACCGCATTGTATGTCGATGCTTCCGTTTTCAGTTTATTAGTGCATACAAAATTATGAAAGAACAATATGACGGTGGATCCATACAGACTCTTCGCAGCACAGAAACACTAGACCAGAGCTGTGCTTTATAATAAACAAATATGAAGTGTTAGCCCCAGTGCTAAAGCACTAGTCACAAGCCAACAGGCTATACACAATGTAGCGATGCAGTACGATTTCATACGTCACACCCTTTAAAAAGATAGTTCTTCAAGGGTTCTTTAGTAAGAAAATAGAACACTCAGAGAACCCTTTGAATGAATAAATGGTTCTTTGCATCCTGAAGCGGTATTTCAGATTGATGGAGAATGTGTTGTTAATGGTTCTGTATAGAACCAGAAATGGTTCTTCTGTTGTTACAATGTCAAACTTGTAACAATAGCACAGCCCTTTTGGTGCTATACACAACCATAAACAACCCACATTCTCCATCAGTCTGAAGAACACTTCTTCTTTTTTCTGTTTTCCCCTCCCTCATGTCATGTGAACTATCAGTGGTTCTACTGGGCACTACTACAGATATAGTTATGTTAGCTTAGGGCCCTGAAGCAGAGCAGGATGGTTTTTTTTTTTAAGATAATTAAATTACATATCAATATCATCCAAAACAACCAAAAGAAATGTGTGTAAAATATTGATACCATGGGGTCAGTTTGACCCTCACTGCAATGTTCTGACATCTAGTTTAAGCCTTCCTAGAAGAGTAGACAACAGAACACAAAGAGGAGTAACAGTAGACTGTTAGGGGTCTCCCTCTTAACCCTTTAAAATCCCAGGCTATTACATACTAAGGCTTATTATTCAGTAACTACAGGGACTTCAGTGCAAACTGGCTGAGCTATTCTTAGTTTATAGAAGTGTGTAATAATACTTTGGGCCTGCTGGTGTGCTTGGGCCACGTAAGCGGTTAATACCCTCAATTTCAGAATAAACATTAGATGAACATCATTCGTAGATATAGTGTATATAGGTACAACTTCAACATACAGACACAAGAATACAAAAGAGCTTCCAACTACTATTCTCTTCTCTTCACTGCTCTGTCAGTATCTCATATGCTCTCTTTCCAAATCCTCTTCCAAAACCCCCCCTCACCCTTTCTTCGTGGGGAACTGTGCGTGGCTATTTCTCTTAGGCCCTATAGCTCTAATCTCAATAAAGGATAAATAGTCCAAATCCTCAGTCCCTCTCTCTCGCCTCATTCTGCACTCCCCGTTTCCCTCTTCCACTCGCTCTGCCGGTCTCTCATTCCCCACTGGGCTCATTCTGCCTCCCCTCCTTCCACCTTTCTCTCTCACCAGCTTTCTCCCCAGGCATGTGCCGCCACCTTTTATGAGTATAATTATTCGTCTCCTTCAGATTTATGAGACACGTATGCAAATGTTGTCTCCTCTTCCTCTTGTACTGTCTGATTTTTGGGTCTCCTCTCTTCCTAAATCTCTCCACATTTCCCCTTCTGTCCTGTTGTATCTTTCTGTCCCCCTTACATCATCTCTTCTTCTCTATATTTTCTGTCTGTCTGTTTTCAGTGACCTCTCTGCCTTTTTGCCTCTCCCTTGCTCTCACTCTCTCTCCTTTCTCTCTCTCCTAACTCTCTTTCCCTCTAAACTTTCCCTCCCTATCTCTCTCTCTAACTCTCCCTGTCTCTCTCTCTCTCTCTCTCTCTCTCACTCTCCCTCATTCTCTCTCCTAACTCTCCCTCTCTCTTTCTGCTGTCTCTCTAACTCTCTCTCTCCTAACTCTCTCTTTCTCTTTCCTAACTCTCCTAACTTTCTCTCTGTGTCCCCTAACTCCCTGTCTCTCTCTCTCTCTCTCTCCCTCTCTCTCTTTCCCATAACTCTCTCTCTGCTAACTCTCTGTCCCCTAACTCTCTCTCCTCATTCTCTCTCCTAACTCTCCCTTTCTCTTTCTGCTAACTGTGTCTCTAACTCTCTCTCTCCTAACTCGCTTTCTCTGTTTCTCTCTCTACTAACTCTCTCCCTTAACTCTCCCTCTCTCTTTCTCTCTTTCCTTACTCTCCTAACTTTCTCTCTGTGTCCCCTAACTCTCTCTCTGCTAACTCTCTGTCCCCTAACTCGCTCTCTCCTAACTCTCTCTCTCTGTCTCTCCTAACACTGTCTCTGTCTCTCTCCCCCAGGTGCGCCTGCTGTACTGCTCACAGGAGGAGGCTGAGCAGGTGTTCCATGCTGCGTGGGCCGCAGGTCAGGCAGGAGCCTCTCACATTTGGTTTGTGGTGGGCCCGGCTCTGTCCGAGCTGGGCCTGACTGGGCTGCCTAATCGGCTGTTCGCCGTGCGGCCGCAGGGCTGGAGGGATGAGCCGCGCCGCCGTATCGCACGTGGAGTCTCCGTCCTCACTCACGGGGCTGTGGCACTGCGCAAGGACTATGGGGCCACGGGTGGGCCGCACTTTGTCACCAACTGTCAGACAGACGGCAACAGGACGCAGAAGATTCGCGGGAGAATGAAGTAAGACTGGTTTTACATGGAGAAGCTTTCTCACCATGTGATTTGACAGTTACGTTAAACATTTTAAAAATAATCCAAATCTCCTGCAACACATTCAGTTACTCCAACAGCAGAAGTCCACAGCTAAATTAGCTGCTAATGTTTTTTGTCCTGTAACTCTGGCTATATAAAAACCTATCTATGTTAATTTATGTTATTTATATATTTCTTTAATTTTTCCAGCTGTCTCTGTTACAGCTCCAATACTGTTTCTTCATACATGTATGCAAAAGTTTGGGCACCCCTGGTGAAATTACGTATTTTGTTGATTCTCTGCCGGGAACAAACTTCTGGACATTTAAATGCCAATTACTGTTTATTTGCAGAATTTAACAGCTTGGAAAAATTTTTTTTTTTTTTTCATATTTTATGTTTTATTTTTCCATAATGCTAAACTCAACTTTAAGCAAATAAATAGTAATTGTGCACTAAAAATTGCATAAAAATGCCACGTTTAAATGTATTCCCTGTAGTGACCAGGGCTGTTCAACCTCGCATACGACTGTATATATACAATAGAAATGGATGTCATTATTAACGTTAGCTGGTTGTTCAGCTGACTGCAAATAAGTAACATTAAGTTACATTAAGCTTTGCATGATAGTTTTGATTGACAAACCAAATTCGCTTGAACTGTTCAACAGGCCATTCACCACATTTATTTTCTTGTCCACAGCATATCGATTGAAGTCAGTCAAAATGATATTATTTGATGTGATCATGTGGTACATTATCTGCATTTTGATTGGCTGTTGGAAAACTGAAATGATTGCTGTTAAGTGAATGTGGTAACACTTTATTAGGACGGTCTACTGTAAATGCTTTGTAGAGGCTCAGTCTGTCTTTAACTAACATTCAACTAAATATCTGTTAAATGCAACAGAACTTGAAGTTGCATGTGAAAGATTCTATTAAATCCGTCCCTAACCCTGACTATAACCTCAAGGCAAAACCTACACCTACTCCTAAACCTAATCCTAACCTTAATGTTGTTGATAATCAAGTATTACCAGAAAGTTTGTTAATGATTTAAGTGTCAGTAGATCATCTATAGGGGACCGTCCAAATAAAGTGTGACCCTGAATAGCAACCGAGTTTTGCGTTTACGTGCAGTGCAAGTGAATATTAGTTTCATGCAGGTTTCAAGCAACCAATGTTGCGTTAAAGTTTCACGGTGCAAAGCCAGCCTTAGCGAGTTCTAGAAAGCACGGCAGCGGGAGCATCCTGGAGCCGACACTGGCTCTTCCCCAAACACCGATAATCGCGGCTGAAAAGCTGCGCTTAGAGCAGGAAGGTGTATCTCTTAAAGGGATAGTTCAGCCAAGAATGCTAATGTGGTTAACAATGAATGGAAGCTGGCGTGGCACAAAAGCCATGCTAACCGCTGGGATTCATGCCCTGAAAACTTCCATTCATAGTTGGCCAGGATGGCATTTTTGGCTGAATCATCCATTTAACCCCTAGGGCTTTGTATTCGGGTCCACACTTCAGTTCCTCACTGTCATAACTACAGAACATATCACAGAAGTTATTAAATATTTAATGGAAGCCTTAATAAGCCTTAAGATTAATAGCTGAATAATAAGCTTGCGGTTTAAGGGGTTAAAGCAAATCAGTCTTGTCTTAACTGTAATCTCTCTCTTATAAATGGTCTGGAACACTGCAGCATGTGAAGGCGTACTGTAAATGAAAACAGCGAGGCTGTGTTAAGTGGGTGAACTTTCCCCTACCAGGCAAATCACTTGCTTCGCCTGCATCTCCAGGCGCTGTGTTCAAAGATCATCTGGTTTAGCTCGAGGTTACGTTTTAGCATTCACTTTTATACGTTTTGTTGCATTTATAATAAATGAGTTTACCCTGTATGGCATATCCAGTAATTAGAGTGAACGCAGCATACCTCCGGGCCCCGTACGTCCTCTCCTCTCTCCCTAAGAGAGACCAGCACACCCTGACGTTTAAGCAGGTCACAGAGGTGGAAAGGGGAGAAACAGCAGAGCTCTAAATGAGCCAGCGCTCACTGAAGAGAAACAAGATGGGAAAAGCAGTTTAAATAAAGCTTAAGATGAGAAAAGGTGACTCGAGTTCACTTCCTCCCTCTGTACTCTGATGAGTTACTGATGCATGGAAAGGATTTTTTGCAAATACAGATAACAGCGAAAGGGCAGTTATGGAGCCCACAGCTTCCGAAAGCTCTGTCTGGCTGGTTGCATCTCCAGATCAGCTGGAAAACCGAAATACTGACACATGTAGGATTTGACATGAAAAGATGAATTGAAGCGATTACAGAAAATAGGAAATGTCACCTTTTCGATTATGCTACCAGTTTAGGATATGTGCTGACGTCTCCCACCACTTCTCTCCTTCTCATTTCTTTTCTTCCCTCTGCCTCTCATTTGCAGATACTTCAGTAACATCACCCTGGGTGGGAGGGATTACTCCTTCAATAGTGACGGATACCTGGCCAATCCCTTTCTGGATGTCATCTCCTACACACCCGGGAGTGGCTGGGAAGACGTAAGAAATAATGAGGGTTCTATTTTATTCACTTCACTTCAGGTCACTGTGATTACACCATGCTCTTAGTTGGTGGTTTTGAGCAGCTGCTAATTGGTCACGCGGTAGAGAGCACACCGAGATGATCCTGTGGCTGGGATTCAGAATACTTTTCTGAAAAAAAGACTTTGTCAGTTCTGCATACACTCTCAGAAAAAAGGGAACGGAGCCGTCACTGGTGTGGTACCCTCAAAGGTGCCTCTCAGTACCTTTAGTCAGGGAACATAACTGTACCATAATCCATTGAAATTATATTTAAGTTGTATTGACACCACGCACCCCGTCTCGTCTCCAGGCTTTTTATTGTTCTGTTTTAAAACATTAGGTTGTGAAATTTTCACCTGGAAAAACTTATTTAAGGTACAAAATTGGACCTTAAAACCACTGTTGTACCTTTGAGGGCACATTTACATTGTTTGTAGCTTGATGAACAAAAAATGTACCTGCACAGAACCTTTGTTTCGAACAGTGTAGTGTGGTTAAAGAGAGAGAAAAGACACTGATGCCCATATCTTCTGTAGATATTGTCATAGTTGTCAAACTGAGGCAGCTCTGTGCAGCAGATAATACAAAGCACAGCTATACCACATAGGAATCATCAAAGAAAAGTGCCAAAAAAAGCTCAAGCTCTTTGCAGACTTCCTGTTTTCAAGCTAAAGGTACAAGAATGTTACAATATGACTGGGCTAGTAACATGTATTGATATAAAAGATGATTAACATTTGTCGGTTTGTCTTAAAGACTAGATGCAACCTAATAATCCGTAATAATCCCACTGATAGCTCAGTTGGAATCCATGTAAGCACCTTAATCGGGAATAGGCTAGTCCATTTAAGGCCATTCTGAATACAGTTTCTATCTAATCGAACGAGTTGGGTAATCCTGTAAATAATCTGTTAAATAGGAGAATAATATCCGTGTAAACATCTGTGTCTGATTACATTCCCTATCAGAAAGTTTAAGTCCATTCTGATCATGTTCGTCGCGTCATAGAGAAAGTTTATACCGTTCAACATGGCGGAGCAGAAACTGGTCTGCAGAGGAGACGAAGTTTCTGCTCTGATCTTTAAAAGACGGCGGTGGGACGGACGTCCAGCTTATGTGTCTCAGAACACGACGTCTTCCTCTCGGCCTTCTTTAATAAGGACATGTGAAGGATGTTTTCCTGAGTCTGACATCATTTTAAAGTAATTAAAAACTCCAGCGCTGCTCACTGCTGCTCATCTCACTCTGACTGGACTCACGTGATGCTGGTTTTCATGGTAACGTCTAAACTAAGTGGTTCTCTACACATGCATGCAATTTTGGTTCGGATTACTTGTAGTGTGCGTTTGAGTAGAGTGAGCATATAAACACATATATAATCAGTCTTAATCGGAATGTATTCAATCAGATTGACAAAAATCTTTGCATGTAAATACAGCCATTGTGTGAATTTCAAGCCTCCTACTCTGGCTTTTGTGGTCTGGTTCTGTGCGTAGTTGAGTCTATTAATAACGAGTGGTGCTCAGTGTGAGCCCTGCTGGAAGTTGCTGACTGGTAGTGTGTGTTGATGCTGAATGTCGGTGGCGGTGTGTGCACTGTCATTAAAACCAATTGTTTCACATGTTTGGGTGCTGCGTGCCAATCACCTACGGCGTACGGTAACCGTAAGGCCTCAGTAAACTTACTGCAGAGACGACATTTTCCTGTAATTATATATGCTGTAATTATGGTGAAAATGTACAACTGTGTGGTGGCTTCATTTCACACGTTGCACACATGGCAGCTGGGTGAGCTTTGCGGATGAAGACACTCTGCAACAGTGCCTGGGATTGGTCGGTGCTAAATAGACATGCCATCATTCAAAGATAAATAAACAAAGACGAAAGTGTACACGCTTGTAAGCTCGCAAAGGTGATTTTGACTTTGCCCTACCCTCACAAGCTTTGTTTTGCTGAAAATGAGATACAGTGCGATAGAAACACCCTGTCCCACATTTAGGGATGGGGGGAGGCGAGGGGGGGCATGTTTTTTTACAATGCATTATACATACGAAAATCAAATTAGACTGAAATGCCCATCGCTGCTAGAGATGTCCCGATCCAATCTTTTTGCCCCCAATCTGATCCGAGTGCTTTAAATGAAGTGTCGGCCAATATTGAGTCCGATCTAATATATCTGTCTTTATAGATAATACAGCCACAGAATTTAGATGAGGTAATGGTAGGCTGCCAGCTACCGTACCGTAAAACCACTTCATTTGGAGTATGTGAATGATGTGACGCTTTGAACTGATACATGTTGTTTTTTTGGCTTTCTTTATTTAAAAATTGAATAGTGTCTTTTAAAATTGTCTTATGATCCAGTTTGATTGACTGACTTAATGATTTGGCAACCAGTTAGTTTAAAATACTGCAAAATCAATATTTCAATTTATCAGCCTACTTGCGTCGATCAGTCTTAATAGTAAAATCACCTCCTTGTTTCTACACCCAGTGTCTATTTTATCAGCTTCACTGACCATATAGGAGCACTTTGTAGTTCTGCAGTTACAGACTGTAGTCCATCTGTTTCACACTACAAAATGCTCCTATATGGTAAGTAGAGCTGATGGACAGTTAGTGTAGAAGCAAGGAGGTGGTTTTAATGTTATGGCTGGTCGGCGTATGTAAAATTACCATTTTATACCGTTGTGATTATGCTACTATTTCAGATTGCTTTTACGTGCGAAGTAGCTTGCTCATTCCTCACGGTTCTGAGTGTGTTATTAAACTACTTACAAGGGAAAAACGTGCTTCTAGTGCCATAGCACTCACAGAAGGCATAAGAAAATAGATTCGAAGCCTTTTCAGTACATTCACAATTTAAGTGCAGCTAGTTTAAGTTGTTTTGATGAAAGGTGGCTAGCTTAACTGTGATCAAAACACCAACATATTTTCTTTTTTTCATTTAAATTAATTACACAGTGTAGACATTTAGGCTGTTCAGAAAACACGCCTCGCTGTCGCAGGTTGTGGATAATGTCCGTTTATGGTACGTCTACAACGGGAGTAAATAGAGCGCATAAAAACAAAGGACTGGAATCATATATGCCTGAATGCTTAGATCAGCTCTGATCCCAACGCATGTTTAAGGTTCACAGGCTTGGTCAGTTGGTTGTGAAAATTCCACATCGTTGCTGTTTGCCCTCTAGTGAGCGCGTATCTATCCTGCAACATCAGACAGTTATAAATATTAATGCCATGTTTTTTTGTGATTATGCTGCGGTATTTGCATGGGAATCTAATCTCAGTGCAGCATGTGAAATATTGTGTTGGATTTACTTATGCAGGGTTTCGGGACTGATACGGTGTGTTCACCGTCTGCGAAAGTGAAGGAGGTTGTTGTGTTATTCTGTGCGGTAGTGGGCAGCAGAAAACAGTTGTAAAATGATATACAACAAGACATTCCACTAATTTAGAAAACCATTTCCCATGGCACTCCTCAGTGGAGAACCTCATTACAATTAACTGAGAACAATGCATCACATTCAGCGCTGTGCTGACTGTGCACGCCTGCAGTAGAGGTGTAACAATATGTCAATGCGTATCAGTCAGCGCGTATCGATGCGTTCGATCCTGGCAGTTCATTTAAAGAGGAAAGAAAGGAAAAAGTACAACACCCAAATCGCGCTATCTTGCTGAGAAATGTTAAAACGTCTTGATTAGGTGAAGCCGTAATCAGGAGTTACATGTGTGCTGCACAGCTTACTGGTCTCAGAGAGCAAATACAATTACAGTACAAGGACAGAAATAAGAGAGGTCCAAAACTTAGAAAGTGGAGGAAGCTCAGTCAATTATAACTCACTCATAATACAGCCGTATCATCAACTAAAAGGGCCCATATGCTACATTTTTTGTAGTTTGCTGTTTTTCTTCATGCCCATATATGACATGTATATTGTGTTATGTACTATAAACAATCATAATTCATTTTTTAACATAACCATTTTCTGACCTCTTATTATTCCTTGGAATTAAACAGGCCGCCTCATAGACCCTTTTTACAAGAAACGGAAAGGTGTAAACGCTGGGTAAAACGGGTTTCGCTATTACCTTACGTACAATTACTATCCTCAGAAATACAGGCGTTCGTATAATTTCTGCTCACTACAGAAAGGTGTCACTTTATCTTTGTCATAGTTGCCAAGATTGAAATTGGAGGAACTGTTGGAGAACCGAACACACAACAATGTGGGAGTCCAAACTAAATAAAGGATATAAATGCTTTATGGAAAAATTTCTTCACAGCTTTTAGAGTTCAGTAACATCAGCTAATGTCTACAGAGAGTGGGTAGGTAAAATAACTATGGCTGGTCGGCGTATGTAAAATTACCATTTTATACCGTTGTGATTATGCTACTATTTCAGATTGCTTTTACGTGCGAAGTAGCTTGCTCGTTCCTCACGGTTCTGAGTGTGTTATTAAACTACTTACAAGGGAAAAACGTGCTTCTAGTGCCATAGCACTCGCAGAAGGCATAAGAAAATAGATTCGGAGCCTTTTCAGTACATTCACAATTTAAGTGCAGCTAGTTTAAGTTGTTTTGATGAAAGGTGGCTAGCTTAACTGTGATCAAAACACCAACATATTTTCTTTTTTTCGTTTAAATTAATTACACAGCGTAGACATTTAGGCTGTTCAGAAAACACGCCTCGCTGTCGCAGGTCACTTTATCTTTGTCATAGTTGCCAAGATTGAAATTGGAGGAACTGTTGGAGAACCGAACACACAACAATGTGGGAGTCCAAACTAAATAAAGGATATAAATGCTTTGTGGAAAAATTTCTTCACAGCTTTTAGAGTTCAGTAACATCAGCTAATGTCTACAGAGAGTGGGTAGGTAAAATAACTATAACCGAAATGCTAGATTAGCTGGAGATGTTAAAACAGCTTGCTAACAGTAAAATAGTTGCCCAAAGCTAAACACGCATACATGC